TTAACACATATAAAAAATAAGAGCATAAAAAACCACAGCACAAGTTATAGTTTGTGATATTTAATTATTATTACATTCATTAAAACATTAAACGTTTCTGCCACAATCTGGCCATCTTCAGGAATTCAATAATATTCTTAAAACGCAGAGTTACATCTAGTTGACATTAAATTCAACAGTCGAAAGTTGTAATTAAATAAACATGTTCTTTTATATGTGAAGATGCTTCATACAGTAATGTTACAACGCCAGTTGTCATATCAAGAAAAGTGTATAACAAGAATTTCCAGATTCTAATTTAAATAAAATTGTATATATTAAAATCTTCTAGTCAGAATATAAAGAAAAAGAATCATTACCTGTTTTACAGCAAAAAAACCAAACGATGAATCTCGAAAAAGAAATATTCGAGATTCATCGTTTGGTTTTTTTGCTGTAAAACAGGTAATGATTCTTTTTCTTTATATTCTGACTAGAAGATTTTAATATATACAATTTTATTTAGAATCAGGAAATTCTTGTTCTACACTTTTCTTGATATGACAATTGACCGTGTAACATTACTGCATGAAGCATCTTCACATACAAAAGAACATGTTTATTTAATTACAACTCTCGACTGTTGAATTTAATGTCAACTAGATGTAACTCTGCGTTTTAAGAATATTATTGAATTACTGAAGATGGCCAGATTGTGGCCGAAACGTTTAATGTTTTAATGAATGTAATAATAATTAAATATCACAAACTATAACTTGTGCTGTGGTTTTTTATGCTCTTATTTTTTATATGTGTTAATATTAGAACCACGTTAGTTTCAAAATATTTTTATATGAATTAAACTATCCTTGTATATCTAAGAATTGTGCGTTGCATCGAATCCAATCATTTTACGTAAACCTCGTCTCTTCTCCTGCGCAATACTTTCTTCACGAGATACACTTCCGGATAAGCCGTGCGATGTAACTCATGTTCATAGAACGCTCTAGAGATAGATTTTCCGCGATAGTCGTCCAAATAAGTTACGAGATCAATAAATTGCACTTTAACGATTTTAAACACCTCGATGGTCTAATTTGATGTACCCTTCTCAAAGACGGTTTTATATTTGCTCACACGTACCGAATCACCTATTTCGAATTTCGCCGGACCGGCCATCTTTACGTTGCTGTATAGCATGCGATTTTTAATGTACGATTGAATCGCTCGACGATCGATGCCTTTATTACGGAGTACATTGAATAATGATTGATATTGTGTTTTTTCAAGAGTCATAGCACGTCAACGTTGTAAAATTCTTTTCCCATATCGATCTGTAGATTTTTTGGACATCTCTTGCTCTTTCGAATTATCTCAGCTGTCTCGCTTCCACCTTTGCTCTTGAACGGTATGGCCCCCGCACTTGCTCGACATATGATGGTGAGTATGATGGCCTCTGTTGAAACGTAAATGTGGATGCATCTCGACGATGTCAGCCACAGATCATCATATCCCCGAACTATGAACGCGTCTTCGCGGAAATTTCTTCTCGCCGGGGTGTGCAATTCCTCGACGAGCTGACATCTCTCAGAGCTAATTTTTTCTCTTTTTCC